TCTTGTGCAGCCTGGAGAGGGTACCACTGGATGTTCTGTGTGTTCTGTTCGGCGGAGGGTCTCATGCTCTTGAAGGATGTCAGTATGTCCCAGGTCCGACTGTACGGCAGGTTCGTGCCTTGTCGACGCGGCTGCGACGCCGGCGCGCGGGCGTTGGAGGTTGGACGCCGCCGGTGGCGCAGAGGGGGCCGACGTCGAACGGCGCTCCAGGCATGGCCTTGCCTTCGAGGATCGAAGGAGTTGGCATCTTCCTCGGCGGAAGGTCGACGGAAGCTGGCTGAAGTAAAACGAGGCCGCCTTCACTGGCGGAAGCCGGCGGAAGTTAAGAAGTCGGCCCCCCAAGAGATCGCAAGGTCTTGCGGTTCGGCGCTTCGGGAGGCCGTGCTCGGGGGAAACCGAGGGTTGCAGGAACAGGCCACGTAGGGCCCCCCTGGGGCCCCACCCCAACGGTCTGAGCCATGGGAAAGCCGCAACCGTTTCAGGTTGAACGATCCAAGCGGAGTCAGAAAACAGTGCAGACGTCATCGCGACGTGTGCCTGCCGCGCTCGTCTCCTTCCGCCTCATCCCCTTTCCCCTCGCGCCTGGCCTGGCGCGCGGACGGCGACGACGGCGACCGCGATAGCCGCGACAAACGACAGCGACAAAGATGACGACGACGACGACGACGACGACGACGACGACGACGACGACGACGACGACGACGACGACGACGACGACGACCGCGACGCCCGAGCAAGCGCGCGCCAGGCCCTGCGCGCGGGAGTCTCGGGCGTGCCTGCGGAGGAGCTCTGCGGGTTCCGCTGCACGCCGCCGGACACCTCGGGGGGAAGCCCAGGCCCCTCCCTGCAGCCCCTCCCTGCACACCCGCTGCATCCGCTACATCCTGGGCCCACTCCTCCTCCCCCCATCTCCTCCTCCCTCTCCTCCTCCTCCTCTCTCCCTCCTCTCCTCTCTCATCTCCTCCTCCCTCCCTCCTCCTCTCCTCTCCTCCTCCTCCTCTCCTCTCCTCCCTCTCTCATCCCTCCTCCTTCCCTCTCCCCTCCCTCCCTCCTCCTCCCTCCCCCTCCTCCCTCTTCCTCCTCCCTCCTCCTCCTCCTCCTCCTCCTTCTCTTTCTCCTCCTGCTCCTGCTTGTCATCCCCCTTCTCCGCTTTCCCTTCCCCTTCTCTTCTTATTAGTAGTATTATTAGTATTGTTATTATTATTATCATTATTTCGAATATTATCATTATCATTATTATTATTATTAGTATTATTATTATTAGTATTATTATTATTTTTATTATTATTATTATATTATTATTATCAGTATTATTAGTATTATTAGTATTAGTATTAGTATTGCGAAGGCCTTACGGCCGTTGCCGCCGACCCTGAAGATGACGAAAGACAACACGAGGGGGGGGGGCAGGAGGAGGAGGAGGAGGAGGAGGAGGAGGCGGAAGGGAGTAGGAGGAGGAAGGGTGAAGGGGGAGGAGGAGGAGGCCTTATGGATGTTGGTTGGGATCTCGTGGTTGACCTCTCGGGGGCGTCTGGAAGGCAACTTGAAGCCTCTTGGGGGCCGTTGTGGGGCCTCTTGGGGCCTCTTTTGGGCCTCTTGGGGCTTCCGGAGGCCGTCTTCGGCGCATCTTGGGGGCGTCTTGGCGCCGCTCGGGGGCCTCTTGGGGCCTTTTGGGGGCCTCTTGGGGCTTCCCGGGGGCCTCTTAGGGCGGAAGTCTCGAATTCTCGGTTCCTCGTCCCCCTCTTGGCCGTTTCTTGGGCCCGTCTTGGGGCCCTATTGGGCCGTCTTGGGCGCCTCTTAGGCTGTCCTGGGGCCTTCTCGGGCCGTCTTGGGGCCCTCTTGTAGGCCTCTTGGGGCGCTCTTGGGGGCCTCTTGGGGGCCTCTTGGGCCGTCTTGGAGTGTCGGAAAGCCGAAAAGGCGAGAAGGCCAAAATCATTCAAAAACCGATGTAAAATTGACGATTTTGGCGCCTGGGGCCCTCTTGGGTGTGCTCTTGGGGCTCTCTTGGAGCGTCTTGAGGGCCTCTTGGGCCGTCTTCGGGCCGTCTTGGGCGTCTTGGGCCATCGTTCGTCGAGTCGAGGCCCTCTTGTACCCTTTTGGGGGTGTCTTCTGTCGCTCTTGGCTCGTCTTGAAGCTTTTCTGAGCTCCGGGACCCCCCGGGGAGGATGCGTATCTGGGTGGCGATCCCCCCCGGGGACACCCCCCGGCGACCCCCTCCCCCCCCCCCCCCGGCGGGAAGGGTAGGGAGGGGCTTCGCCACGACTCAACTACGACGTTGCTCAATGTCGCTTTGGCTCGCGCGCTCAAGGAGACGGGGAACGACGAAGACGACGAGGGACAACGGAGACGGAGACGACGAGGACACGAGGACGACGACGACGACGACGACGACGACGACGACGACGGTGATCCACGCAAGACGACGACACCGGGATGCGTCTTCCACACGCCGACAGGGTCGGCGGATTAGTATTATTATTATTATTAGTATTATTATTATTATTAGTATTATTATTATTATTATTATTATTATTATAAGTATTAGTAGTGTCATTATTATTATTATGTGTATTGGCCTTGGTTTTATTATCATTATTCTTATGACTACGGTTACTATTATTACTACTGTTATTATTAGTAGTAGTATTATTCTTATTGTTAATATTATTATTATTCCTCCTCCTCCTCCTCCTCCTCCTCCTCCTCCCCTCCTCCTCCTCCTCCTCCTCCTCCTCCTACTCCCTCCTCCTCCCTCTTCCTCCCCCTCGTCTTCCTCCTCCTCCTCCTCCTTCTCCGCCTTCTCCTCGTCATAGTCATCATCATCAGCATCATCATCAGCATCATCATCATCAACAACAGCAACAGCAACAGCAACAGCAGCACCATCATCATCCTCATCATTACCATCAGCATCATTACCATCCGCGTCAGCATCATCATCACCAGCACCGTCAGTAGCAGCAGCATCATCAGCAGCAAAACCATCATCCGCATCATACGCGTCACCATCATCAGCATCATCACCACCAGCATCGTCATCATCAGCATCACCAGCATGATCTCTCTCTTATTGAAAGGCTGCCGCCTCTGCCGCCGACCCCAAATAAATGCATGTATTGTTTGTGCGTTGCGTCGGTTGGGGGGAGACCTCCCTCTCCCAAATCCCTCGTACTGGGCTCCTGGGGGAAGGGGTTGCTGAGGTGGCATCATTTCACACGCCGACGGAGTTCAGGAGGAATCTTGGGCCTTCTTGGAGCCGTCTTGAGGTCGCAGAAGCCTGTCGTCATGCGATCTGGGAGTCTTTCGGAGGCTTTCGTTTGCTATCGATGGGGGGATGTCGAGGGGGGGTGGAGGCCTGGGGATGTCGAGGGGGGGTGGAGGCGAGGTGGGGGGCGAGGGGGGGTATCGGTCGTTGTTGGGCAAGAAATCGTGGGTCGGGGGTCCAAGAACAGAGCCCAGAGGCCTGGGGATGTCGAGGGGGGGTGGAGGCGAGGTGGGGGATATGGAACGTTTTGGGGCGAGACATCGCGGGGTCGGAAGTCCCAAGCACAGAGCCCAGAGGCCTGGGGATGTCGAGGGCGGGGTGGAGGCGAGGTGGGGGGCGATGTGGGGGGCATTGGTCGTTTTTGGGCGAGAAATCGCGGGGTCAGGGGTCCCAAGAACAGAGCCCAGGAGCCTGGGGATGTCGAGGGGGGGTGGAGGCGAGGCGGGGGGCGAGGTGGGGGGTATCGGTCGTTTTGGGGGGAGTAATCGCGGGGTCGGGGGTCCCAAGAACAGAGCCCAGAGGCCTGGGAATGTCCAAGGGGGGGGTGGGGTGATGTGGTGCGAGGCGGGAGGTATCGGTCGTTTTTGGGCGAGAAATCGTGGGGTCGGGGGTCCCAAGAACAGAGCCCAGAGGCCTGGGGATGTCGAGGGGTGGTGGAGGCCAGG